TAACAATGTTTGCCAAAATAAGGCTAGGTTTACACTGTATCCTCACCATATCCCAAGGGAGAATCTCAGAATCCACCAGTTCTTCGCACATATGCACATAAAACTGAAAAAACAGTAGTGAAGTCCCTCCCAGGGCTGTCCTTCCATCTCTCATTCTCGAGACCTTAGAAAAGTCCCTGCAAATGTCTTCACTTCTTGGACTGACGCATGGCAAAAGTGGTGGATGGGTGGGACACATTTGGGGTATGCCTCCCAAGACATGCTAATGTAACACCCTGCTACTTAGAGTGAGCTAATACCGTGCACATTTCTACAGCAAACTGATAACTGATTAAATATCTACTCTCTTCATCTGCACATAGTGGCCTGGCTCCCAGTTCCTTCTGAATGAAAGGGCATTGACTGCTTTCATAGCCCTACACATTTGTCTGATCATTTTTCTTATACCTTAGGTACAAGCACAATGCCCTTGCCTAAGCCACATATCTGCTAATATTTATGTAGAACCGGTTCTGTCCTAAGTCATCAATGCTTTAGTACAGGTGTTTCAGTAGCCTTGTAACACCAAAAAAGCTTGATATAGGAATTGCTTCCATTCCAAAACTGCTTACTGCACTCAATGTAGACTGCCCAATAGACTTTAAAAAATCTGGATGGTATGTTCTTCACTTACTTTTAATCATTTTTTATGATATGGTAATAAAGTCTCCCCCCCTTTTAGGATAATGTCTTCATCCCTGGGCATCATGTTCATTCATGCTTACTCTTTTCTTTCCCTATGAATCTTGCATTGTTACCTGCACAAAGGTCTGGATTGAAAAGTTAAGAGACCACCCCTGTCCCAGACTGAACACATTTAGACTGATAAAAGTAATGAAGGGACAAAAAAAGTGGAGGCAGGGTTTCCATTTACAAAACTCTATGGTTTTCCAATTCTTCAGGTTGAGGAGCTGGAGCTGTTCCCACCTGATGCAACAGAATCATGGCAGAGGAAAAGTTTAATGGAGTAATACCCCCACTTCTTTGGCTCTACTTTCAGAAGGATTTGAACTCTCTAATCTACTCTTTACTCCAGCTGCCCATGCCCTGATAGGTAGATGCATTTTGTTTTCTATCTTGACAGCCAGGGTATATAAAGAATTCTAGAAATTACATTTTTGCATAAGAGCTTGAAAGTACAAAGACATCAACTGTACTATACAGTATTTCATACTGACCCTGTAGATTACCTACAGATTGCATTTTTTAAGTTTAGAAAACCACAAGGAAAAAGGCAGTCTTCACCATCAATAAAGTGAGCTAAGGGTGACAAATTAGGCAACATGGCAAGTACCATACTTTTTCTGAGAAAGGTTCTCTTTTATGGCTCCCTCTAGTACAAAGCTATTATGCTCCAGCTTACAACTGCATTGATGGCTATTATAAAAAATACCCTTATGCAACTCATCATATTGTAGCAACTTTGACTGACGCAATATATTATTTATAAGGATTCTGTTGTAATAAACATTATGCAAAGTTATCATGATTTGACTCTAGCATTCTTGACTGTCCCCCTAAAACTAAAGTAGCAACTATATTTTCCCCTGGTTCTATGAAATGAATAGGTGGTATATTGTAGTGCTGATTTTTCAAGGATAAGTCTGTTCCTGTTGGGGAGTGGGGGGAAGAGGAGTGGTGATGGTCTCAATACAGGGGTGAAGACTGGGGACATCTTGGTGTAGATGGATAGGTGAGTGACCCACTGTACCCCTGAGAGGCCAGCAGGGTTATCAGCATGGGCAGTACAGGAGCCATTTCCATTGCCATAGACATGGAGTCCTCACAGGCCTTCAAGGGACCAAGACATCTTTGCCCATGATCCCTGGAATCCCCCTCTCTCTCTACTAGGACCCTAACCATGTGACCCTCAACCATGATCAGATGGTGCCTCACACCCTGAGACTGAGGCATCAGATGAGTCTCCCCGCTATAGGACTCCCTGGCAACAGGGCTATGGTCCTGGGGCCCGGACATTCTTCTCTATGGGTCCTGGGCATGGTGGAAGGAGGAAGTTGGGATTGTGCATGCCATCTCCATATCCTGGTCCAGCAGGAGTCTGGCACAGGAGTACAGTGGTTTGCAGTCATCCCTTTGACCTTGGCATTCTGGAACTTCTCAGTACTACTTGGAGGGGGAAGGGGGCTGGATTCATGAGGAAACAGCTGGCTGAACCAGAAACAATTGTGGTGTCTGGGGTCAGGTTTCCTTTGGGTCTTTGGGACCCTGGTTCCAATCATACCATCTGCTCCTGACCTCTGGAGATGGCAAGTCAAGTTGTCCCTTTTACCACTAGCTTCTAGGATTACTGGGTCTTTAGTCCCACCCCCTACCCCTGGTCAATCTATGCTGCAAGTCAAGGCATGTGAGGCCAGCCTCTCCTACCCTGCCTCCAGGGGCACCACATACAGGACTGCCATTCCCCATATCCCAATAAATAGTCTCTGAAGCAGAACACACCATGGCAACTGAAACTGGTGAAAAGCTTAACAGAGAGCCAGCTCTGATGCCAGTCACAAATGCCATAGGTCAATGCAAAACAATCCAGGACTCTATCCATGAACTCCCTCTCCTGCCATTGAAACTCCACCAGCTCTACCAAAGCATAAGAAACCTTCTTGAAACATTAAGTGGACATTTCAAGCTCCTATTCCTACACCTTGACAAAGTAGGAGTAGGCATCTCTCAGCTTCACAATTTGCCCCCTCCACATTTACAGTCTCTCCAAATGTTGAGGTGCTAGGTGCTTGGAGGTGGCTACAGGGGTTTCTTGGTTCACAGCCATCTCCCATATATATCTCTCATATGCTCCACTCTATTTGTGAATCAAACTAGAGTGTTATCTCTGGTTCTGATATGATGAACTGACATCACAGGACACTTTATGCATTGTGGTTACTACTGAGCCAGTGCTCACCTTTTGAACATTTCCATCCAGTAACATGTCCAGGAATGTTTCTATCCACATACTACCTGACACCTTTTGCCCTCAGTAGCAATGCTTTGTTCTTATGGTTACAGATGGGGCAAGACAGAGGAAAAGCTTTCTTGCCCTGCCATGTCCCCCTGCAAGCTACTATAAGCTCCCTTAGGTCCATGTCATCACTGATATGCTTGAACATGGAAGCAGAGGGTGCCAGGCCATGGGAGGAGGAGAGTCAGGTTGGTATGTGTTCTCCCAAAGAATGGAGGGGAGAATATGCTTCCCCAGAGGGGACCAGTGCTTTATGGTATACTAAGCATTCAGTACAATGACTACTCTTGCTGTGAGACTCAAAGCTGGTTTGCAGCTATGGACTTTGAAGTGGGATTAGGAACTGGTCTGATCAGGTACCTCTTGCAGACCTCTCTGGGACATCAACCTGGGAATGACCCTCACTGCAGCACTGGTCAGCTGTACTTGCTTTCACTTACAGGACTCTGGCCATCTCAACAGTGTCTGTTGAAGGAAGGAAAGAAGGAAGGAAGGAAGGACTTTTACTTTTTAGCTACTTTATTCAAGAGTTTGGGGTACAAAAAGTTGGCCCCTCTGGGGTCCTGGTCCAATATACAAAGCAAAGAGAAACAAAATCAGCATCAAAGCAAAAGCACCATGCCATTACATTCATAACATCCCACCATGACAGACACCTTCGCAATATTATACATCACACCTAACATGCCGTTATGCAGTTGGGACACCTGGCCATGCGATTGTACAGACCAAAGCCTTCTATAAACAAATGATTCCTACCCTGCTCCATCCAGTAGTATACATGACAACAACTTCAACTTCCCACACAAAGAAGAAAAAGCAAAAAGCAGCCTGGTGAGGGCCCAGGGTGCAGCACGAGCTGGAAGTCTCAGTCCACCAGCAAGCCTGTCCAGTTGCCCAGACCAGTCATGACATCAGAGCATGTATTGAAGATGGCCGTCCTCTACATGTCACAGTGCACCCTCAAAGGCCCAGTGTGCCTCAAAGATGGGCACTGCCCGCCCCAGCACAGCATGCTTAAACTCCAGCAAGAGGCATGCCTGCACCAGGAGGCTAAAAAGCTGCAGGGCATTTTCTGAGCCAGTCCCGGCAAGCCAGTTGCAGTGGCTCTTGAGGACAGCCATCTTGGCCTGAACCAGATGGCCAGACACACAGTACCCCACTTGGCTGCTCGGTACAGGTAAGTGTCCATAGGTGTTCTCTGAAAGGCTTCTGCCCAGTGCCCACAGTGATGATTTGAGGGTGACAAAGAAGGGCCACAGGCAGGGACAGTCAAGGAAGGCATGAAAGAGGTTATCTTCAACATCCCCAGCTGTTGAGATGGCTGGGTTAAAGTGGGACTCAAAAGTTGCTCGAATGCTGTGCAGCAACCACCACTGCAGGTTGCCAGTCTTGGTGGTTGGCAGCTTATACAGTGTGCACCAAGCTGGGTTGGTTGGTGGGGAATCATCCCCAGGCACCGTTGCCACGGTGTATTAAGGCAGTGCATCAGCACCTGGGCATGGTGGACTTGAATGACCAAGGCATATAGGCTTCTGTGGCAAGGAAGCAGAGGAGCAAACTGTGTCACTGTTGGGAGGCATGGGGAGCGTCAGCAGGGAATCAGACCTGCCAGCCAGCTTGCCAACCATGGTTGGGGCAACCAGCAGCAGGGGGAAGGCCTTGCTCAGGGCATCCACAGCAAGGGGAACCTGGCATGCCCAGAAATGGTCATTCAGGGTGGCTGCTGCCTCTGGCAGGAAGGCAGCCTGGATGTCATGCAGGACACAGCCCATGGTGCGGATGCAGTGTGTGCCCAGCTGTGTGGTCAGGGCCTTGGGTGACAGCCAGGCCAACTGAGCAGGGTCAAGGAGATGGTGCAGGCAGAGGACACATGCCCAGATGAGGGTGGCTGTGAGGCTGGCAGAGACTAGGCTCAGCACAGGGTGCTGCAGAGCTGGGTTGTACACCAGGGGCTCAGCAGCTGTGGGAACTGTGGGAACTCCAGCAGAAGGAGCTCCCTGTCAAAGCCAAGGGCCCCCACCCTTTGCAGGAGCTAGCACACCAGTTGTTGCCAGAGTAGGTGCTCCTCGCTGTAGAGGAGTCAATGAACAGCTTGCAGGTAGAAGGCAGCCACCTTGCTTGCCAGGTTGACCAGGCTCTGGTCCCCCTTGGCGACAGGTAGGTAAAGGATGACTTGTGGGAACCAGTAGTACCCATACCAGAAAAAATCTACCAGAAGGCACTGGAGCCTCTCGAGTAGGTCCGGTGGTGGGTCAAATATGGCACACTGGTGCTACAGGGTCGCTACCACCAGGTTGTTTGTGATGAGCACATGTCCATGGTAGGAGAGGCTGGGTAGGCACCAGTGCCACCATTGTAGGTGGGCTTCTTCCCCTTTCTCAAGGCCATCCCAGTTGTGCACCATGAAGGTCGGTGGCCTCAAGAACATGCCCAGGACCTTGAGGCCCTTACGGTGCCAGGTAAGGCCCTGGCAAATCTGGGGGGGCGGGGTTTGCGCTGATCCATGTGCCAAGCAGCAGGGTATCACTCTTGGCCCAGTTGAGACAGGCTGAGGAGACACATTCTTAGGCTCACTGGCAAACTCCACACATCTTCCTGGGTGTTAAGAAGATGGTCATGTCATCTGCATATGCTGACAGCTGGGGCAGAGGGCCAATGGATGGGTCTTGAGCAGGCTGGAGGTGCATTTGTATCCGTGTCCAGGAATACAGAGGCAAAGAAATCATTTAAGAGCTCTGCTTTTCCCATCCTATCAGTTACAAGTTGCCTACCTATCGCTGAAGGGGACCAGAGTCTGTTTGACCTGGCAAGCAAGGTTACGAGTTGCCCTAGTTCATTCTGTAGTGGCCCTATGTCACCCTGTTCCCTATGTACTTAAAGAAGGACTTCTTGTTATCCTTAATCTTTGTTGCCAACTTGAGCTCTGTATCTGCTTTGGCCTTTCTCCCTGCTTCCCTACAAACGCAAGCCAAGTGGGTATACTCCTCTTTGATGGCTACCCCCTGCTTCTACAACCTCTTTTTTCCTCTGAAGGCTCTCCTGGATTTCCCTGCTCAGCCAAGAAGGTTGTTTGGCTCTTTTGCCTCCTTTTACCTCCTGTTTTAGATGCAGGTCTTGTATGCAGGTTAAGAACCTATGTGAATGGGCAGACCTGGCTGATTGCTCCTCCCAGCAGATGTCTGGGTAATTTTGGTCACCCGTGACAACTAGGTCTTTTGAGCATGCTGCCTTTGATAACTGTTTTGAGAATTCTAGGTCTAACTCTTCCCCCTGGTGTGGGGGTCCATAGTAGACCCCCACTACCAAGTCCCTTTCACCCCACCTCCTTGTAATCTGACCCATAGGACTTCAATTTCCCATCCTCTGTCCCCATCTTTATTACATAGGATATATAATGTTCCCTAACATATAGGGCAATGCCCCCCACCTTTTCCCCAATCTATCCAGCCTGTATAGCCTGTAGCCTTCAGTGCCCATTGCCCAGTCATGGGTAGGTTCCCACTGGGTTTCTGTTAGACCAACCAGGTTGAGGTTTTTGTCTGCAAGCAGGAGTGCAAGTTCCTCCTGCTTTTTTCCCATACTTCTAGCATTAGTATAGAGACACCTAAGCCCCCCAATATGTGCCCTTAGTATTCCCCTATCTTGATTCTTAGTAGGCCCTTTAGTACTTGCCTGATCATTTCCAGCATGCGGTTTGAGGCTTGTCCTACCCAATCTTGTCCTGACCTCGGCATCCCCATCCCCTGACAAAGCTAGTATAAAGCTCTATGTAGGAGGTCTGCCAACTTTTAAAAAACAGAGAGATGTAGGCCATCCCATCCCAGCAAGATCTTATCCTGGGGGCAAAGATCGTGGTCTAGAAAGCCAAACTCTGCACAGTGACACCAGCTCTGAAGCAGTGAGTTGACCTCCTCAATGCAGTTGCCATGGTTCTGACCACAGGCACTGACTGGGAGGACCAATGAGAAGACTACTTGTACTCCTGACCTTCTAAGCCTGTCTCCCAGAACCATGTAGTCAGCCATGACCCATCCCAGACTACTCCAAGCTACATCATTCATTCCAACATGGATGAGGGCCATGGGGTAGTAGTCAGTGAGCCTGATTAGGTCTGGAAGCCTTGCTGTGATGTCCCAAATCCTAGCTCCAGGCAGGCAGCACACCTCTCATATTGTAGGATCCGGGCAGCAGATGGCTCTCTCCATTCCTCTCAGGAGGGAGTCACCCACCACAATGACTTGATGTCTTTTCTTCTGGCTGCTCGGTTGCCTCTCAGTCTGTCTGCTGGTAGCTGTGGGCATGTTCTCCATTGCTGTACTCTCTCCCAGTGATGCTAGGGCATCATACTTGTTTCCCAGCTGCACTGGGGGAGTTGTACCAGTAGTATGACATCTAGGTCTGTGACATCTGGATCTGGAGGTGACTATCTTCCATCCTTCTGCATCGACCACTGCCTGTGACGCTTTCCCTCCAGGTGTGTGATCCTGCAGAGAATGGAAGTACCCATCAATCTCTTCCTCAATCACCCTGATCCCCCACAGACAGCTGACCTCTCCCTGAAGTTCCCTCACCTGCCCCTCACTAAGTAGAGACAGGAGGAGAAAAACAACCCTTACCAATTCCCTACAGGTGGCCCGGCTCCTCCTTGCCCTTCCCCCCCTTGCCCACTTAACTTTCTGCAGTGGCTACTGTCTTCTCAGTGGGGTCAGTGAGAAGCCGAGGGCTCACGTGCACTGCCACACATAGGTGCCTACTCTGGCATCTGCCCGATTGGGGCTGGTTTGAAAATTCCCATGCTTTTACAGATGCCAATCAGCTGTTCTGCATAGGAGTGGCTAGCCCTTCACCTGCACAGAAGAGTCTGCCGGCAACCCCTCGCCCAAGAAGCTTCCCCCAGGAGCCTCCCTCTGCCCAGAGCCCTTGGTAAGTGGTTTCCCCCTCCCCCTAGGAGTGTTGTCACATGTATGATTGGATAGGGCAGGGTAGGAATCATTTTTTATAGAGGGCTTTGGCCTGTACAACCACGTGGCCACATTAGCCATAATGTGTAATTCAGCAAAGGTGTCTGTCATGGTGTGATGTTATGAATGTAATGACATGGTGCTTTTGGTCTGATGGTAATTTGTTCATCTTTGCTTTGTATATTGTACCTGGATCCCAGAGGGGCTAACTTTTTGTACCCCAAACCCCTGAATAAAGTAGTTAAACAGTCAGTGTCCTTCCTTCCTTCCTTCCACTTTGGACACCTCAGACTTGGCTTGCTTGGATCTGCATAAGGCGATCCTGAGCGTAAGACTCCCTGTTTTTTATCTCTTTTCTGACTCCTACCTGTATAAAAGTCTCTTGTTTTTGTTTACCTCCCTTTCTGATTTTTTTCTTGCATTTTCACAGTTAATTTTCTTTTTTTTTTCCTCTAGCAGCTAGAGAATGAGAAATGGGAAGTTAGCAGCTCCTCTTACTCTGTGTTTTCACCTGTCCCAAACTTGAGCTTCCTATCTGCCACCCATCCCCATGGTGTGACACAGCATAGTGCACAGAACCCCAACACCTTTCATTGCTTCTTATTTTTTTTCTGCTGATTAAATAAGCCCTATGAGCTGTAGCAGGGAATGCAGGGGATAGCTTGCAGCAAGGGTGCTTGGATCAGCCTTGTAATTAAGTCCAGCCAAGGGGCAACCAGCAGCAGGTTGCACAAATGACTAGGGAAGGGGGAAGGAGGGCTTTTTTTTTTACCGTGGTTGTAGATTGTGGGGGCAGTGGGGAAAGGGCTATGGTTCCTACTGTGTTAGATGTGGAGGCAGATTGGGGTAGGTCTTGTTTCAGCATTTGGGATGGATAAGTCAGCTCTTCTCAGCAACAAAGGATGACCTTGAGGGATACTAAGAGTGGCGTGACTAAGCCAGATTTATTTTAATACTTGTTGACTGATGAGGTGTTAAGCCCCTAAGGTGGAGGGCAGTTCAAGCTCACATTAAAAGAAAGGTTAAGTATGGGTGTGATCTGGCTGGTGCTGAGTGAATAGTTGAACAACTAGATTCCTTGGTCATGTGCTTTTTCCTACCACAGTGGAGGCATAATATCAGCCTCCACCCCCCCTCTCCCCACCACCCCTCAATGCACTAGGACATTCCCTCTGAGGATTTGTACCATGATGGGTCAGTCAGGGGTTCGGACCAGGGGGATATTCAGTAGCAGTCACTTGCTCCAATGAGAAGGGAAGGGGGAGGGGCATCACAAGCACCTTTACGTGAGTCTTGGATGTTTAGCGATCAGATTTAGGGCCCCAATGCCCTGATCCTTTCCTGACATCCAATGGGTGTGGCCCATGTTTGGGTACCATCCCAAGGAGTGCAAGGTTTCCTCTCTACCTGGATCTCCATCCTGTCTTTATGGTGCAGTGCTGACCCAGCTTTCACATGCAGAGGACTCTGCCTTGGGACTATCAGGCTCAGGGCTGGTTTCAGGACCAAAGATGGGTGCTGTTAGGCTCTCCATACTGAAACTTGGAGGACTGCATGCTCTTCAAGTCTCTATTCTGGGACCTGGATTGGGAGTAGGTGCTCTTTGGCTCTGTGTGCTGGGATGAGGACTGGCAGGCAGTCTGAATCAGCAGCAGGGCCTCTGAGATGCTGTTGCAGGAAAGGAATTGGAACACCTTGGCCATGACATAGGAAATGGTGTCTGTGGACATGTGACTTCCCCAAGATTCAGAGAGTCTGAGGTCCTGTGGAGACCAGATGCTTGTTCTGGGGCTGCCTGTGACATGAACAGCATGGCATTGGGGTTCATGTCCTTCATTTCAATCACCATGCCATTGGACAGTCCCCTGGGTCCCACTTCTTAGTGCTCATGGCCCCACCGGCTGGGAAAGATTTTGAGGGATCTGTAATCCAGCTCCAGATGCATCTGGTTCCTCTTTGTCCATAGAGACCAGTACCAGGACCCTCCTCCCCCTATGTCCTTGGGGACTGCTTCTCTGTACCCCATTCTCCTGCACTTCTTGTCACTGGGGTCATCCTGCTGTTGCGTGCAACTCCTCTCCAGTGGTAGCATAGGTGTTCAGGGTAGAGATAGACCTGTCACTTAATAGGAAGTGAGACAGTTTTTCATAAAAGAGCATGGTGAGCCTCATGCTTCTGTAGGTCTGGTTGGCATCATAAGTCTGCTTGAATTGAGTCTTC